ACTGTGATGTCAAAGAACAGCACTCTGTAATCAAGCATAAACATACATGTCCAATGAAGTGCTAAAGAGTTCAGTTGTAAAGAAAAATATCAGACCTGTGACTGAGGGCATGATTAATCCCTTTACGCTTTGGGTATAGTTTCGCTCCGGCTTTCCACTTTGGGTATAGTTTTGCTCTCCCTTTCCACATTGGGTATAGCTTCGCTCCCGCATTCCTCCTTCCGTTGCTGCTCCAGCATTTTCTTATTCTTCTCCAAGGCAGCAGCAACTTCTTGCGGCATATACTTCTCATCGTGCTTAGCCAGCACTTCTGAAGCCTCAAAATAGCAGTTTCCACTTCTGGCCTTCTCTGTGATCATGGACTTGTTCTCTCTCAGCATCCCCTCATCCTTCTTCTTCATCTCTTCTGTGTACGGCTTTATAAACCCCTCGACAACAACAGAATGACCCTCCCGGAAAAGATCCGGCAGCGATCCCTCGTATCTCACCAAAATGTCAGTTATTAAGTCGGTCACCACGAACTCCATCTCTGGAGATGAAGGAATCTGCCCCACACTGCCCTCCAATACCAGCCCGCCGAGCCTGAACTTTGACCTGGTGGGGTTCTCGGTGTACTTTGCTAACGCATCCGTTGGGGTCACGTAGAAAACGAGCTGGTCTTGGAACTGGTTGAGAACGATGATGATAAATCCAGCAACGCAGCTGAAGGATAGGGCGTAAGTCCAGAGACGACGCGTCTGCATCTGCCTGGCCCGAGCGCCGATATCTGGCCGGGCTGAGCGATGGGGACGGCTCAGGGTGGATACGGATCGGAAAAATAGGGTGCCATGGGAGAGGGCATGGGATGGATGGGAATGGGATTGGAGAAGAGAGACTAAAAGAAGAGATCTCGGATACCTGGTGGCTGCGGCGGCACTAGAAGTGGCGGCTGCGGCGGCACTAGAAGTGGCAGCGGCGGCGGCGGCGGCGGTACTAGAAGTGGTGGCTGAGCGGAGGAGCCTAGACGCGAATCGGATGGCCATGTCGAGCGAGAGCGACTTGTACATTCAGAAATACTCCGTATTGTTTAGAGTCATACATTAGGGGTGAAGTGGTGACAAGGTATATTGTACATCCGGGTACGTAGAAATAGGTACATCCGGGTAGTACTCATTGTGAAGTAAAATAGTATTCATTCTCGCACAAACATAATTATTCATTTTGAAAATGTGGTACTCATTTTAAAATAATGTAGTGCTCATATTCACACATTTATTCAATACAGTTATAATATTTATTCACATATAACGCAGTGTTCATTCTGAATAAAAATAGTACTCATTCTCAAATAACTTAATGTTCATTCTAAAATAAAACAAAACACATATCATGAATAACCTTTTTCTCTTCAACTAGAGTTTCATCCCAGCATCTCCTCCATCTACAGCACCGCGTCTTTCTTTCGCGACCCGACCCGCTTTAACGCCGCCACCACCTTCCTTCTCCATCGTTTTCTCCAGATTTTCGCCACCATCCCTCGTCGCCATCTTCGCTACTCCATCGTCTTCCGTCTTCGCTGCTCCTTGTCATCACTACCGCCACCTTCCGTCTTTCTTCTCCGGTGGCCCGACCCGATCGACAAATAGAGGAGACGCAGTAATTTCGGCGGCTTCCGTTCCATCTCATTCCTTCTTCAATTAGCCGGTTGTACCTAAAATTAGGTACAACCGGATGTACGATATAATTTGCGGTGAAGTGGTAGACCGGATGATAAACTTCAGTCTTAACTTTATAAATTCAATCATTTTTTACTTTTGATTCATAATAATAAAAAATAAATTGTTTAATTTCTAAATTATATTATACATATATTCAGCTTCAAATATTTAAAAGTTTATAAATAATTTAATTTCTAAATAGTTTTAAATGAATATATAGGAAAATGGCGCGAAATCTTTAAAAAAAATGTTTATAATGTCCATTACGCATTACGATTTTTACTGGAGTTATTTTCAAATTTTTAATATGAAAATTAGTGTGAAGTTTAAAAAATTATATATTTAAAAATTACATCAAAAGATATACAAAACTAGATATGATATGACTATATTATTTTATCGTATTATCAACAAATATAGGCGTACAAAGTAAATAAAATATGACCTTGAATAATGAATGGAAAGATAGTTTTTAAATGGATGGAGTAGTTTAGCGTCAATTATATAAAAAAATTTTGGAGGAATTATACAACTATTTTACCAAAAAATTACAAAAATATTGAAATCTAGAACTGTTAAGGAATCATTAATGCCCCCACACGGTGAAGTGGCAAGCTCATAAATAGTCGCCAATGTGTATGTAGAGACAGATGCTCTGAAACAAATAGGTAAAAATGCTACAATATGACATAATACTATGCCAATATTCTCAAATGAGTGCACAATCAATGTGCAAGCTACCATTTGTAGTCTTTTAATGATAACTTCTACGAGGGCATTTTGTGTATGAATGTGGGGTTAAAAGATGCTCTACATTGACCTCCATGGTCATGCAGCAATCATCAAAGATCTTTGATGCAAACTCCACGTCATTATCTAGTCTTATAAACTTAATTGGATAGTTAGAGTAGTGAGCGCTTAGATGAACCATTTTTGCCAAGTTACAGCATATCTAGTTGAAAGTAATGTGACGTTTGATCAATATGCCGAGAGAACAATTAGGTAACTAAATGGTCTATTTTTTGGTTGAATAGACATATATATCTCCTTGTAGAAATGATATAGTTTCGCTTGAAATATTAGCATATGAGTGTCTCTATCCTATTTTTGCAAAAGGATATTTGAGCCTTTGACACGGACAATGAGACATAATAACTTGAGGATGATTCTTCTACTTTTTAAGAAGGCATTTATCATATTTGGGCATTACTACTCATTTTCCTATGAACAAATTACTCCCTCTCATTTCATTTGAAGGACAGGCATTATGATCGTTTTAGTACGAACTCATTAAAATTAAAATCTTACATCCAAGAGAGTTGGGTCTAGGAAGATATGATGATTTCAAATGAACATCATTTTTATATTATTAATGCATATCGAATTAGCCAATAAATGTACAACAAACTCAATTCTGTAGGAGAGGGAGTCTGATGTCAAGATACACATAACCTAGATGTGGCAATTGCATCAATCAGATCATTTCCAGTTTGGATTAATTTGGTTCAGATTTCTTCAAAGCGGTTTCTTGTTTTATCAATTTTGGGTATTATCGGTTTCAGGTCTAATCAGTTTCGGATTTAATCGATTCGGATATTATCGGTTTCAGATCTAATCGGTTTTGGATTTAAATCGGATATAAATTATTTAGTTTGGTTTCTGTTCGATTCGGATTATTTTGAGTTTTTGGTTATAGATCTTCATTTTTTTGAAATATTTCAGTTTTGATTTTTAATATTTTGGTTCATGTAATCAGTTTCAGTTCTGTTTTACCAGGTCTAGAGTAGTTATTATGGAGTAATCCCAATACATACATGCTACAAGCAATGCTCTATTGTTCTCAGGGTTGAAGCAAAACCTACAAAAGCCTTTAAGTGAAATTTGCACTAAATACGACTAAAACATAATGACTTTCCCAATGTAGGACTTAAACTTTTTTTTCCCTAAATAGGACTTAATAATGACCATATGGAAGAAATAATGTCCAGTAATGATGAACATTTAGTTAAATAATGACTACTTGATAATGACCAAAGGTTCTACATTGGGAAAATAAAAACATATGGTCCTATATCAAGAAAGGCATTATGTTTTAGTCTTTAATTTCTCTTTAATATTCCCAGTGGCCTTCGTTCTGAAGATTCATCAGCCCCTTCGTCAACCAGATGGCTGTTTCTCTTGACGAAACAGCATCTTCCCCAAATGGTTCTAAAACGCCTGCAAGCTCTTCCAGCTTTTCATGTTTGAGAAGGTCTGCACAAAGTTCTAGAAGTGATTCCAGGGCTTCTGCTCTTTCATTACCCAACTCGCTCCATTTTATTCTTGTTAGGTTGTTTCCCTTGGGATAATTTGGGCTGCCCGTTACTGAAATGCCGCTTTCCGTCCTCTTGTGACGGTCTTCATTCTCTGTTTTCTTCAATTCTTCTGACCTGCCTCCTTCATGGGTAGGATGGCTTTGTGGTTGCCTGGAAATCTTTTCTCCCGCTTTACTTATTAATCTTGAAAATTCATCCTTTTTGGAGATTTGGTCGGTAGAACCACTCAGTTCTACCTTCCTACTTTCAACATTTGGGAAACAATTACTGTCTGCAGTCGCTTTCACCTCTGCAACTTGTTTAGCTGCCACATGAACTCTCTCTGCAACGGGTTTTTCTTGTCTTTCCGTTGCCACTTTGTGGGTATTCATTGATGCATGCTTTAGACGCCGTCTTGTTGTCACGACGGGTTTTGCCTTCAAGTCCTCAGCAGACAGTAGTGGAAGAAATGCAGGAGGCAGATCACGGCATTGCCACAGGTAGGGCTGCAAATGTGGATGCCTTAGGAGCTCTGCAGCCTAAACATTTACCACATAAGTGGTGTTACCATTTTTCCCTCAACAGACATTTTAAACAGGTTTCAGGCTAGCCCGAACCACTTTTTTACAGATTAGGCCAGACCAAAAAACAAAGCTTTAATCAGGCATGACAATTTCGGTGAGGATCAAGCCTGTTTAGAGCATGGCCTGTTTCCATCCCATAGCCTAGCCTACGAGCTGAAAGCCCAGGGACTAACCGTGGGTCTGTGCTGTGGACTCTTTCTTAACATGCATTTGATCAAACACTTCCTGCAATGTAATATTACATGCAGTGCTCATTAGTAACTCATATATATGCAGCTTTCTTTCTGGATTGAGACTGTAGAAGATAACAACACTAGCTTACAATGCTGATGAATATATAGTAGGAAGCGGAGAAACGGTGGATCGTTTAATCTTGTTAACTAGTCCAGCCATAGGGTATATCGGCTAGGAGCTCCGGACACATGTAATTTGGAGTTCTCACTATCTTGAAGAGTTGAAGAGTCAGAATAAACACAAGTTCAAGTTCAAAACACGTTGAAAACAAAAACGAATATCAGAAAATATATTGTCACCGAAGACGCAAGATCATCCTAGTTAAGCATCTTTGCCAGGCCAAAGTCACCTGTCGGATGAGCAATCCAATAACCTTATCAGATCATGTTCATGAATGCAGGGAAACCATCTACTTTGGGATTGTTGAAGTTGTACATAAAATGCGCGATTAATCCTTACCTAGTCGAATTTCATCATCCTTGGTTAGGAAAATGTTGGAGCACTGCAGTCAAGAACAAAACGCAGGAAAAAAAATCTATGTAAAACAAGGAAGTACATTCATAAGTCACTTCGTGTATACTACTGGAAGAGATTGTAGACATTAATTACTTTGAGATCCCTGTGGAGAACGTGGTTGGAATGAAGATAGTTGAGGGCTAACAACAATTGAGCCAGCCATTTCCAAAGCCTCTGTGGAAGGAGAATTATATCTGCATTCATCAGTAACTGCAAACAATTCATTTTGTTTATCTATTAAGATTCCTTACTTCTTCTGAGAAGAACACTCCTTTTGCTCTCCTTATCATCTCAGCCCTGCATGTTCATAATAAAAGTTTTAAACAATAAGCCATTTTCTCGCGAGAAAAAGAAAAACGGGCTTTAAGAAAATGCTTCTAGCAACTCACATGTCGCCTCCCTCACAGAAACTTGTCACAATGCAAACAGACAATCCCTGCAGCCTGTGGTGATAAAATAGTTTGTCACTTTAAGAAAAAAAGTTTAAAGTCTATAGTTTCTTTACCTTTTCCACCCAACCGTCCTTGTATTGCACAATGTAAGGGTTATATAACTTGGCTATTAAATTCATCTGCAGATTACGAAGTATATAAAAATATCAGAACCGTTCTTTGCTTCTTTTTTTGTCTTTCGTTTGATAAACGAAGAAAGTTTAGCTAGGTTAGCTAACCTCCTGGTATGCTGTGATCTTGAACTTGTCATTCTGTTTCGCTAGACGAATTTTCTTCAGCACATACCTGCAGGTTAAAAGTTTCCACAGTTTCAGTTTCTTAAGATATTTCTTTATCTGGAGAAAGAAGAATGGGAAAAAAATTACTTCTTTGTGCAGCTCCGAAAGCACCCCTGCCTATTTGCTCAATCACTTCATAATTCTCCATCTTTGGCCCTAAAGAGGCAGTGATCCACATGTACAAAAAAGGAATATTTTTCACATCAGTACAATAAGGGTTACATTTTGCATTAATATGCATACAAATAAGATGATGGTGGAGAAATGAGATTAGAAGAAAATGCGAAAGAAGTGCCTTGTGGAAATTTTCAAGTGAAGGAGTGAAGTTTTTGGGACCAAAGCAAAATGGGAAAGAAGGGAAAGCTGTGTGTGTTTTGACAGATGGGCAAAATGCTGAATTTACATTTAGAAAAAGGGAAAGTTTGCTTATGCAATGGGGATTCTGTTGATTCATTAATGTGTGGGGTGTGGTGTCACTGTCCTTCAACTGAATATCTATATACCCTTCACCTTGTCCTTGACTTCTCAACAGCTACATATTCACATTGGATCAGAACAATCAAACCCAGATATTTTTTTTAATGTTTATTCATTCCAGCAGTGGACCATACTAGCTGGGGATATTGAAAAATGGAAGCTTAATTAGCTCTGAAATAACAACTGGTGTGTGGCTCCAGAACATTCAAGAATTCATTGATATCTCGTTTAAATGCTGCAAAGCGTTTTTAGACTCCTTCCACCTCTACTTTCCACTACTGCATTAAATACACACTCTAATGGAGGAAGCCAGAGGAGTGAACATGCAGAACATATATATAACAACTTATAGTTTTTAAATTCCAAAAAAAGACTTTGGGTCCCTTAGAGTTATAGGTAAACATATGGTTTTTTGAGTGGGGGGTGCCATCGGCGACCCTCACCTCCGGTCAAAGTTCGCCTGAAATATCAACTTTCTATATTTTTTTGTGCTACCACGAAGAGACAGTCACACCAAGACACAACCATTACACAGATTACCGGAATGCCCCTCACCGGGTCGCTCAATGGTGAGGGACAAACAAATGACTATTCAATCTATACTTCTTCCGGATCAAAATAAAATGTTCTTACGTTTTTGTATGGAATGTAATAAAAGTTAAAAGTGTATGTTGAAGAGTAATGTAAGAAAAAAAAAGAAATAGTGTAAACAGCTCCACTAAAAGAAATGAAACCTTTATTTTGTGGGGAAAATGTATTGAGGTACCATTTGTATCATCTAAAAAAAATACTCCCTTTGTCTCAATTTAAACTCTCCATTTCGGTTTATAATATTATGTCCTTCACTAAAATTATTATTATCCTTATTATATATACTCCCTGCGTCCGGAAATAATCTTCCCATTTCTCCCTTTTCTCCGTCCGGAAATAATCTTCCCATTTCAATTTTTGATACACGAACTACCCAAAATACCCCCACTTACCATTGTCACTCTATCTCTCTCCTCTCCCCTCTCCCCTTTCTCTCCCATCTCTTATTTCCTCGTCACTCACTCCTTATCTTTTTCTCCTTCTCTCCTCCCTCTTCTCTATTTTTCATCCGTTCCTCCTCATCAAGCCTTCCTTCTCTCCTTCCTCTTCTCTTTTTCTTCTTCTTTTCCCCTTATTCTTCTTCTCCCCCTGTTCTTTCTCCAGATTAGTTCGTCTTTCTTCTTCTTCTTCTTCTTCTTCTTCTTCTTCTCTTTTTCCAATTCTTCTCTTCCCTCTCTCGCAGATCTACGGTTCTTCTTCTCTTTTTCCAATTCTTCTCGTCCCTCTCTCGCAGATCTACGGTTCTTCTTCTTCTCTTTTTCCAATTCTTTTCTTCCCTCTCTCGCAGATCTACGGTAGATCTGTTCCCTTTTCTCTGTCTCCCAGAGGTAGAGATGGTGGCGGCTATAGACGATGGCGCGAAGGTGCTGGGGGTTGAGGGGTGATGGTGTTAAGGGTTAAGGCGAGAGTGGTGGGGGCTGGTCATTCGCCGGCGTTGATTGGGGGGACGGTGGGTGCTAGCCTCGGCAGAGACTAGGGTGGTGTTGGGGCTGTAAAAGAGTAAAACATGTAAGAAATGAAGGGTATATTAGACATTTCTCTTCCAAAGTCAACCATTCAAAAAAAAAGTCCAAATGGAAAGATTTTTCCCGGACGAAGGGAGTATAAAACAAACATTCTCATTTGAGATGGAAGGAGTACAAATTAGTCATACTTAAAATTTTAGGAGTTTTGGCCTATGTATTATTTTTTGTTCAATTTGATCCTTTGTTAACTTTTGCCCTTACCTACTGTCTCGAATTGTTAAAGCGATATCGTGTAACTTTATTTTAGGCGACATGGAAAGTGTTTTATGGGCATGATAATGCATGCTCCGTACATTTTTTAATTCTTTTTTTGCCATGGACAACATATTTTTAGACGTCATGATTTTAACAATTCAAAGCATTCAATAATGTCAAAAATAAGTGGAAAGGCTGAATTAAACAAAGATAAATAGTATAAAGAATAAATTATTTCAATTTTTAGCATAAAATTAAATTTTGACAATTTTAAACAATAACTAACCTCTACGTTATTTTCTCCTCTTTTGAAATGTCCTAAAAGGAAATGTACCTGTAAAAACTTTGTTTTGGAGGGGATTGTATTTTACTATTTTCCACCCATGATAAAAATTACTTCCTCTATTTCTTTTTAACCAATCATTATAACTTTTTTTGAAACTGTACGTGGTAAAATGAATGAATGTAAACCTAAAACATGTGTGCATTCATTGAGTTTTTGATGTATCAATTGTAATTAATGGAAGGGTCTTGAGCATCCAAACGAACACAACGCTCTCATCTCTGAAAGCCATTATTGCACTACAGAGATGCACTGGCTAAAGAATGTACCATGCCATGAAGTCATCAACTATGATTTCACATCCAGTTCTACAAACAAACAAAAAATGGAACAGTCAAAATTAGGACCCAAAATGAGTTCACATAGAAAAGCCACTGGATTCAGTTTCAAAATACTTGCACATCCTTTCCATCACTTCCCTTCCCTTAACACTGTTCTGCTGGAACCTCTCCACACACTTCTGCTCAATCTTCTCTGCCATTGATGCCAACACTGACAGCGGCTTAATCCTGATACTTGTTTCCTGCCTGCAAATAGTCCATCCGTTTGGGTTCTCCGGATGGGGGTCGTACCGGATCTTCTCTTCCACTTCAACAAACTTCTCAAGGCTTATGTTGCGAGTGGACAGCTGCATTGAGCGTGATCGGGCATCAACAACCGTTGATTCAACACAGTGGCAGATATCCTGACCAATGATTCTGGAAATGAACCACGGTCCGGGTGTATGGATGGTTATAGCACGCGTTGTGTAAAGCTTCCCGGAACTGGGGACAATCTTGCGGCTCAAAGTGTCAACTTCACGGATGTGTGATAGGATGCGTCTGTTTTCGGGATCAGAAAATTTTCGCCATGATGCAGCCGTCACTCTTTCCCATGGATGCTTATAGGTATGCTCTTGTGAATATGCTCTAACCATCTTCTTCGGCTTTCTTCCTCAGTTGTCTGAGAGGACAAAACACACAACACTTTAAAATTGTGAAAAATAAGAGAAACTTTAGAGGGAAGAATGTTTATTCTCATACGAACATCACGTCACACTTTCCAATATCAAGAGAGAATCTATTTCCCATTTTACATAAGTTCCCTCATCCATATTTAAATGATCCATAGGACTTCCCCCGTCCAAAAACAATGTGTCAAATATGACCGGGAACAGTTTTTAGTAAAGTATAAACTGTGGTTTAAATTAAGATGAGAGAGATGCACTGTGAACCACATAAAAATTCCAAGTATACAATCATGCACAACAGACATGTCATTTTGGGGCACATGGTATACTTTAATATCTTTATTATTGCATAATGAATCGTTGTATTATCGCACTTGAATTCAGAAAACTTTGCTCCTTAATATGTGCATAAAGGTCTATAGAGTCAATACTTTGGAATTGGAAGGAGTAAAGCAGTACTTTAAGCGCAATTTTTCTCAAACAGAAATTCATCACATGGTTTGAAGGATAAACTAATGCTTAATTGCAGCGGGTTATTACAAGTAGCCAATGCAGAAACCTACACAAGCACTTGCCACCTATGCAGCATCACTCACTATACCCACACATACTGTGCAATAAAGGTCTATATATACAATTAGTTGGGAAAAAAAGATTAAAATGGCACCTTAAAGTGAACAATTGTTAAAACAGAAATGCATCAACAAGATTTGAATGATAAACTATTGCCTGAATTGCAGTGGGTAAATGCAAATAGCCTATGCATCAATGTACAAAGCAACTACTTGCGCAGCATCACTAATTTTATTTCAACAATCAACACCAACATACTACGCCATCAACACAGAAAACACCATTTAATATGCAATTTGCATATATCAGTACAACATGTGGCAGCCACCTCAACAGCTCCATGACTTAAGCCTTGTTTTTTTGGGTTGGAAAAATTAACCGAGTAGGATCCCACAGAAGTAGGGTCTTTGGAGGGTATGTGTACGCAAACCTTCCCCCTACTCAAAAGTACAGAGGGTGTTTCCAAGAGACCCCCATCTCGAGTAACACAAAAGCACAAAGCACGCAGAAAGAAACATAAAGTAGGGAAAAAAGCACACATTGTTTAGCACGAAAACTACTGCCATTCTACCCAACTACCCTAATTCTATCTCTCCAAACACGCATATCTAAAGTCATATCCTCGAACTTCTCCCCTGGCTTGAGTGGTAGTAGCAAGCCCACTCCCCAGGATTAATGGGGAAGTTCACCCAGGTTCGAGCCCCAGCGAAGGCAGCAGCATTGGCTCTTTGTGCGTCATTAGCTTGAGAATAGTATGAACAGATACTACCTTGTAATAGAGTCAATAGCATTCAAAAAAAAGGGATGCCATCCCTCTTTAAAAAAAAAGGTCATATCCTCAGTAAGGGCCAAAAGTCTAAGGTCTTGGCTAACCATGTCTTTCCAAGTCCTCTTGGGTCTACCTCTTCCCACATTTCCTCCCACAACAGAAAGCCTCTCACATCTCCGCACTGGTCAACACCGCGCTACTTCACATGCCCAAACTACCTCAGCCTAGCTTCCCACAGCTTACTCTCCGTAGAAGCCACCCCCACCCGTTCACGAATAATGTCGTTCTGAATCCAATCAAACCTCGTCTTTCCACACATCCAATGTAGCATCCGCATCTCTACAACATGTAGCTGGTGAATTTGAGTTTTCTTAACTTCCGAACACTCTACTGCGTATAACATGGCTGGTCTTATTACGGACCTGTACAACTTCCCTTTCATCGTTGCCAAACTTCCCTATATAACATTATATATCCAAATTTGTAACATATCAACTCAAACACAGATTTTGATGGATTCTTTTTTATCCACAATTAAAATTTTCTAAAACTTTATTTGGATGATCATTTAACTGAGTGACTTTTTAATACTTAAATTCTTCCAACATTTTCCAACTTCTTCCAGTTTTTTCCAACTCCTAGTTTCTTCCAACTCCTTCCAGTTTCTTCAAACATTAAACTCTGAAATTTCAACCCAAAAGAACAGGACCTTTAAAGGGGTGTAGTGTTTGGAAGCCCACAAATTATTACACGTTTACTATTTTTTTTAAATTTAATTTATATAAAGAAAGAGATAAAATGTGATTGGTTAATGGAGAAGGGGGGAGGCACTATACACATAACACCACATGCAATTTGTTTCTCATAAAGCCCTAGTGGTGGTGTTTGGGGCTCCATGGTACGGGCATGGAACCCACTACACTTGGTCTAATATACCAGCACCCTCTCACTGCAATATAAAATAGACATTACTTGAACAATGCGACAAAGATAGAAATGAAGGGTTTCTGTTAAGCATCCTAATGCAAATCCACTGATTAACAAAACATAAAAGTTTATAAACGTCTCTAAATCCTATATTTCGGAGAAACAAAAAATGAACTCTAAAATGGAGGGAAATGCTAAACTTTCATAGGCAATGCTGCAGTTGGGTACAAGGCTTAAATTTAGCGAGCATGCCAATTATATCTCAAGAAAATTACTTGTTAACGAAGAAACAAACATTTAACGATCGTACATGGATGCATCATATGAAATTTTTAAATATTGCCTAAATGCTCAAATTCCTACACCCTACTTTTTGTGGGATTCTACTGGATTTGTTGTTGTTATATCTAAAAGCCTAAATACATTGACAAACACATTCGTGTTCTCACCCGAACTAACAAGCAGATTCTAAACTAAGTACAATACAATCTCTAATGATACAAATTACTCTCATCCTATAGGGTTCCTAAATTGCTCATCACATCTCCCTTTCTCTTACTTTAAGATTTGCTGATTTACAAAAGATATCTTTTCCAAGAGAGAAATCCATGTCTTTTGTAACAGTTGAATGGCAACAACAGAATCGTGAAAAGAACAGATTCTAGAAACATATGCTGAGACAATACTCCGTATAACAGTATAAGATATGAACCAGCAAATATCGAGATCAGGGACGAAAACGAACCTGAATTATTTCGTTGCAATCTTGCTCGGGAGGAAAGCGCCTAGAACGTTTGTGAGAATTGAACGCCAAGAAAATAAGGGCCCGTTTGGAGTTTTGGTTTATAGACATACTTCGGATGAGTTAAGGTGTTGTTCCAAATAGCGCAGATTAGGTACAATAAATGATGAAAATGCTACATATACCTCAACATTTGTGGTCCATTTGTACATTAAAGGTATGCATCAACATTTTGATAATTTACATTGACACAAAGTGTTGATGCATTAATAAAAATTTACATTGACACAAAGTGTTGGTCGTTAACAAAAATTAGCATTACACCAACACAAAATGTTGGTGCATCCCTGCAGTGTAAGAAATGGGGTACAAATTCTTGGGGTACAAATAGCATTATCCATAAATGATTCCTACTTTTGATGTTCATATTTAGGTCTAGACCAAACTAGATTGTTAGGTCCAAACCAAATCCGAACTGAACACATATTGAGTCGGTCTTCGGTCCTGCATATTTAGATTTTTGGGTTTCAATTAGGTCCAGTCCATACCGACTGCTTTTCGGTCCGGACCGCATGGACCGACAATTCTAATTTATTTCTCAGTCCTTACTCCGTATATATTACCTCTCTTTGCACCTTTACAAATTAGACTTTTTTGAGTTGATAGAAATTAGGACTTTGAACAATTCTTATATATATATATATATATATATATATATATATATATATATATATATATATATATAAAATATGTTTTTTTAAAAATAGAAAATAAAAAATAAAATATGAAAACACTAATAGAAGACATCTTCTAATTACAGAAAATATATTGTAAAACATAACGCATATTGGCTTAATTTTAAAGGAAGGGTTAATTTTAAAGGAAAATAGGAAGTCCTAGTGGCTGGGAATTTAAGAGAAATTGAAAAGCCTAAATACAAAGTCATACGGGAATAGTCANATATATATATATATATATATATATATATATATATATATATATATATAAAATATGTTTTTTTAAAAATAGAAAATAAAAAATAAAATATGAAAACACTAATAGAAGACATCTTCTAATTACAGAAAATATATTGTAAAACATAACGCATATTGGCTTAATTTTAAAGGAAGGGTTAATTTTAAAGGAAAATAGGAAGTCCTAGTGGCTGGGAATTTAAGAGAAATTGAAAAGCCTAAATACAAAGTCATACGGGAATAGTCATACTGGAATAGTGCTAGTCGCTAAGAATTCCGTCAAAATTGAAGGGTCTGGTCGGGTCAGCTAGCTTCCTAATTATCGGCTCTCTCGCATCTGATCCGAGAAGATCGCAAACAGTAAGTCGATGGTATGGTCTTCTTCTTCGCGATCGCAAACCCTAGCGGTATTGAAGATCCAGATCTTCACGGCATTAGTCGACCAAGGCGCTGCGCCTGGACGCCAAGTCGTCGGAAAAGCGACGCCTAGGCGAGGAATTGAAAGTTAGGCGAGTCGAATCATCAAGGCGAGATCTAAAGGGCGCCGCGACTCCTAGGCGACGCCGTCATAACTATGCAATACAAACAACACCTCTATCAGCAAAAACCATGGCATCAATCTCCAGTATTCTTTCTCCTGCACTAACTAAAAAAACAATGCCAATTTTCAGTAAATATAGCTTTGGAAAGAATTTGTGTTCATAGTGAGTGTGAATATGGAACTACAAATTGCTCATGTTAACCTCCAACCGATGGCAACACCAATTGCTCAAAAATCCAATATCACGGCAACGTTCCCTTCTTCAAATAGCCAATGTAAACCTGCAGTCATTCCTCGGGTTCAATAAAAAAATGTCTAGAATATTTTTATATTGAGTAAATTACTCATCAAAACTGAAATTGGAAACCAATGTTCGTTTTCAACAATATGCTCATAAACAAAATTGCCATCATTTACTTAAGAAAGAAATTAAGCAAGTCGCATGAAAGTAAGGTGAAACGGCTAGAGAACTGTTTTGATTATCATAAATATACACTTATGTTGTAAAGATTTATCCTTACTCAGGAAATCAGTGCCTAAAATATCCATGCCATTTTATGAAGTACTGTGTCAATGACATCCAAAGCGATATCAATGATAAGGCTAAGCGTCTGATCAAAATTAACAACAAATCCAAAGGGGATGCATACGCAAAACAGATTAGGCTGCTAGATTAAGATGTCAAAGCCAAAATAGTCTATTGCATGTGTTTAAAAAGACAAAATAACAACATCTTCTTGTTCCTATCAGTATTCTACTAAATTTAAAATCCAAAAGCCACTATCACAAATTAAAAGCCCTTACCATTAGTTTGATCAAACCCAAGACCCCAATAACAGTCCTTACTATTTCATATATATGCTATATGTGATGAGAAGTAAATGCCACTGAATGAAAAGTGATGACCCAATTAACAAATCTGCCATAAAGGAGGCCAAAGGAAATAAAAGCAAAATACCTCACATGACAAAAAAATTGATGCCACAAAGCAATTTGAAAGTGAATACCATTGTAAACTACCAACTTGAAGGGAAGAGAAAGCAAAATACCTCATATGAAAAATCTACATGACCTTGAATATTAATAAGATTCAAGAAGTATGAATCACCACCATACATGAAACACATTTGAGAAGCCTGGAAGAAGAATAAAAAATCATTAATCAGTTTATCTCAATTGTGGAAGATTGATTTCAGGCATATAGTTGGAAGTATCTTTTTTTATGGTTTGGATTCATTCTTGTCAGTAGATATTTATGCTTTCTTTGTTTTGACATTGTTTACTTTTGTTCTGACATTCAATCTCATGTTTTTTCCCTATGATAAACTTTATTTCATAATTCATAGAATTGATAAGAAAATTTTGATAGACATCATTTCATAAGTCATAGAGTTGATAAGAAATTCCAACTATAATGTCTGTGTAATCTATATACAATAAAAGAGGAGTAAAAAATTTTAAAATTTCAATTACTGCAAATTTACCTAAATGCGAGGAGGTTCAGGTGCGACGGGGTGGTGTCCAAGACTTCACCTCTGCAGAGAGCTGGTCGGTCATCAAAGCAGTATCCCAAATAAAACATACTTACTACCTCCTCGTCAATCAACAGCATGTTAGAAGCATCCCACAGTTGCAAGAGCCAGAACCTTGATCATACAGCAACTACCTGCCTTACACGTTAGATTTTGGACTGGAATACAAATCCTCTTTTTTATGCTAATTGAACCCCTGATGATGGGCGCCATGCCTAGACTCTGAATATCACTATTAATATAATAAACACTCCTACCAAATCCAACACTTTACAGAGACAAGGTGTAAAAGAGGTTAAAGAAAATGAACAAAATTACTCTGAAATTCTTAGAAAATCAACCGATTGCACCATGTTCGAACTGATTGATATCCAATTTTCCTCTCCAGACTCGAATGGCAATTACCTGAAACATCAACAATTTTCACGAATAGGAGTAATTAGAATATAATTCGAGTAAAAAAATACTCCATCTTGGGCTTTTTTAGGTTAGGAGATTCGATGTTATGACACCGAGCTTACCTCGATGCGCGATGCGCTATTGATGCGCGCGCATCACGAACACAATGCGCACATTGAGGCATAAGTAGCATAGCATCTCTAAAAGAGTAATAGTACATATAAAATGTTGAAAAGCATACGAAAACCTTAGAAAGCAACAAAGAATCAAAGTATAGACTTCATGGATTTTGTTACAAATTAGGCAAATGGTGTCATTCCTATTTGTTTTTGTGACCCTTGAAACATACTTCCATCCGGGATCATTAGACCCCAAAATTTAGTAGATTCTTACATTCTTGAAACTTGAAAGAGTGTACAAAATATAAATACAAAAAAAAAGGTGAAAAGGGGGGAAACCTCACAAAAAACTGAAATAAATATTGTGAAAACAAATAATAAAAGGAGCTACTAACTTACTAAACTTATTCTCAAACCTCAAATACTAGTACACTACATCAATTTTATTCTCAAACCCGACAAATATAGAGTATATTAAATTTCAAAGCAAAATTGCAAGATAAATAAAAAACTGAAATAAATAGTAAGTTTAATTTCAGTTTTTTTCACAAATGTCAAGCGCCTACAAAAATCAAAAGCAATTGAAGTTAAAAATAAAGAATAAATAAATAAAGAGGGGCTTCCGATCTGGACTGTGACTTCAACGCAGTCCAAGTTGACAAGTGATGGAGTTCTAGGGTTTTTTTAAAAAATAAATGAAATTTGGGTCGCTCTTATCGGGTCGGCTTATAAAAAAACATCGTCTACTTCAACCAGCGGTCAATTACTCTAGGCGACATCTTTCCGACAGCAACCAATTGTCACTAATCGATAAAATATTTAAAAAAAAATTAAAATTTAAAGATGTGGAAGTGATGTGCGCCTTGTAGCGCCTCAGATCGCACTGCATGATGCGACGATGCTTAGTTATGCGTGCGCGCACTGCATGATGCGACGATGCACAGTTATGCGTGCGCCTCCTGTACGTCGCCCGCATCACAAAGCTTGATGCACAGACCCCTTTGCTTCGTGCGCATCGCGCCTCAGGTGCGCTTTTCAGAACTATGTGTTTCACCGCCTCTTGAAGTTCCCTTCTTGCGAGCAGTCCCTTCCACGCTGCTCCACAAAGACAGTCGAGAATTGGTTCCGGGTTGAAGAAAGCATATTGTATTAATCAACCCATGAATTTGTGACAAAAAGAATTTTCCGGTAAAAGTTGGGGAAAAACTGGGGTAGCCGAATACATGAATGGAAAGCTATAACGCAGTACCTGTAACAAATGAACAAAAAAGAGCCAAAATATGCTTCCTTACAATTCCATGGTAATACTGATTAGATGCTTACTCATTACCATCAGTCTTCTAATCCTATATAACATATATAGCACCAAAATAAAATAGTCATACACCAAATCAAATCTCATATATAAAGATTCTTTCACTACTTTTAAGAATCAATTAAGTCACTTAGTAAATTTGAATGACAAATTTGAAAAGCTATGTCAACAAAGAACATCAATTTTTAAGAGATGCATTTATTTGAATTATGGTTAATTGTAGTACACATATATGCTTAATAAATACGTGTGCTCACACATAAATCAAGCATGTGAGGTTTACACATGCATGTGTTCTCACATACCCTGATCAAACAATCAAGAAAGCATTTTTATATAATATTTAATATGAGCAGTAAACCTTGATGGCTTTGGTAAGAATTAAATTACTATACCAAGAGAGAAAAATAGCAACGCAAAACATGAGTTGTAAGGAGATTCATTTCATTAAATTGTGCTTAATTATTAGAATACAAATATGAATACTTGTAAAGGGTTTCGGATTAGATTTTAGCAAAAATTGACCTTCTTACTATAAAATTGCTAATACGGCAAAAAAAAAGTAAACTGGAGTAAACTAAAAGTTTAAGTGGTATTGATTCACATATAGACTCCTCGGTTTTGGTTTGTTCGTTATATGTCTTACTCATAGTTTGTAAGGCGTCGCCAAGGCGATAAGGCGCTGTCACTGGGATGCCTTGTTTGCTCGCCTCGCCTAGAAAACCTTAAGGCGACCAGGCGCTGACCTAGGCGTCGCCTTACCTCGCCTTGATGCCTTGGGCCCATCTAAAATTTTGAAAAAACCCATTTTTTAGTGCAGCCCATTTTCTTTTAGTGTAGCCTAATAGACTTAAACTCATCTTCTCTCTCTCTCACTCTTCTTTGTCTCAATCAAGCTTCCTTAAAATGTATAAGACCTATACATACATACGTACGTACGTACGTACGTACATACGTATATATTTGTCGCCTAGTCGTCGCCTAGGCGTGCGCTTGGTCGCCTAGGCGATATGAAGGTACATTGGCGCCTCGCCCCGCCTTGGCGCCTTACAAACTATGGTCTTACTTCCCAGTAGGAAGGTTCTTATGTCATTCCTTATCTATCATCCCATCTTAAAGAGAACGGTATAAACAAAAGAAGCTAATACAGTATTACTTTAAGAACATAGCATCATCGTTCAAACATTAAGTCTAAAAGCATTTAAAAAATTAAAGCTTAGAAACCTCTCTGTAAGACAGTCCCCAATGGGAATTGGGGTTTAAATATCCTAATTGAATGTTAATAAGGAAAACAGTGAAAAAAATTGAAAAAACAAAAGAAAGCATATAGGTAGCTTCTCTATGGAACTTCCTTCTCCATCATACTTGTGTTTCCACAATCACTATCTCCGGATTCTACTCTCTCCTCCTTTCTCTCTTAATAATTTTTTATTATATTCTACAATCTCTAAACCTGCCATTGAGGGCATTCTAAGACTAACACAAATTTTGATTCATTTAATTGCAAGTACATACTATCATGAATCTATTGTTAAAAGGAAAACAAATCATAAAGTAAAATTAACCAGAAAGGATGTCCCTCTCCAGCACTTGTGGAGTGACAAAGAAAACTCATTTTTCTTTCCAAAAGCTAGCTCTTCTAATAGGACTTGTTTGACTAGTAAGATCAATCGCACACTCCTGCATTCCATTTAGTAAAAATTGTCTCAGAGTTTGTAAATATGTAAACATATTGTGTCCACAAATAATCTAAAGGAAACAGTGTTTTAGCTTCCCTTCCTTCTTATGTTTTATGAAGTTTTGGTTAGTAAGAGCTTGTTCTATTTGTCTAATCTAGTTAGATCTGATCTGATTCTATTAAGATCTGATCTCTAATTGTAGTTATATTTAAAGTTGTTTTTTATCTCATTTGGTCTAATCTGGTTTGATAGGATTCTAGTAAGAATAAGTAATCAGAATAAGTTGAAGAGAACAAGCTCTAAATGCATCTGTGCATCAAGGGTCTAACAGAAACGGCCTTTTTGTTTTACCGGGGTAAGGTTGCGCACATCTTGACCCCCAGGCCCCAACATAATTAGAATTATACTAGGTTTGTTTTTATTGTGTCCACAAACTGTAAACTAGAAACACAAAGGTACAGTCAGTCACAAAAAAAGAGGGCTAGAAAGCCTCACCTGCGGTATATCTACAATGTTATGGCATGCTTCAATCTGTTGCAAAACTAGGGGCTTAGAAGGAGCTGCAAACACTATTTTTCCTGCCATGATGTCACATATACAAAGTAAATATATTTTTGGTACGCTTAAGCTTTTTCCTCAACCAACAAAGTCAAAAGCACACAACTAAGAGGTTAAAGAGGGTTATGATGTTACAATTGTTCCTGCTAGAATAAAAACATAAATTTCAAAAAAAAAAGCCTTTCACAATTCATGCAAACTAATCAAGTCAGTGTGTAAGGTACATGTAGGTTTGAATCCAAAGCAATGCAAATGTTAGAAACTCTGAATTTGTATGTGATGCCCATAACTTCCTGCATAAACAGCTCATCTATATTGACAAAATAAGGAACATTTGCTCCAATAAATAACTCTACTTCAGTAAATATGTATATAATTCATTACAAGAAATTAAGACCTTATCAAGACAACATTATTTTCAGCTTAGTTGGACCTTACTGAGAGTAATGAGATCTTATCTATATTCAGCTTTTGCAGTGTTTAGATAGGATTGCCATAAGCATATTGATATAGTTCCAAGCAGCTCACTTGAACTTATTTCTTTATGCCATTTTCCAGAAAGAAAAAAAAATACCATCAAGAACACTTAATCACATGCAATGACAAACAATGCTAAAAAGTGATGCAGTACCTTCTGGAAACCACTTAAAATAATTATACATTACAACGGCAGCGATGAATGTTTTTCCAAGCCCAGTAGGTAATGCCACTAAGGTATTGGAATATAGTGCAGTCCTCGTGATTTCGAATTGATAATCCCGACGGGGAAGATTTGCTGCAATAAAATGAATTATGAATAAAATTTTATTATAAGCACATAAGAAATAGTGCAGTTATTGGTCATAAAAAAAGAAATAGTACAGTTATTCAAGAAATGAGTAACATCAAATTCATAAGTGATGCATATCCCAAACCAAATTAATTAAATGCAAACACTTAGTGTGACATTACTCTTGTTCTCTAATGGTGCAATCCAAATGTTGTGGTCGATAGAAGGATGAAACAAAGTGAG